CAAGGTTTCGGCAGCTGGTCAAATAGAGCTTGAAGATCAGTTTTGTGAAACGTTGAAGACGGAGAGATATATACAGAACATAATGTTAACGCAACATGCAAAATAATTCGCACTGCAACAGCCTGCAGATTAGTAGTTAGTGAAACTGGGCTATGGATAACGTTCTGTTTGACCAGGATGGAAGTTCCTCCCGTAGCCCTGTCACCCGGAGGTGAAAACAATGATATGCATTGAAAGAACGCAGGACAAAAAGCATCTGTCTGTTTTAAATAGGTCTCCTGCAGACAGAACGCTGATGGTGTTAAGTCCTGGACTAAAAGCTGTAATTCATTGAAATTAGTCCTTAATCCTCTGCAATTCCACTGTATAATATTATTCTGATAACCTATCTTTTAGGGGGATTAATTGGGGATCTACCCCGCACTTTTCTGGTGGGCGACAAGCTGTGTGCCCTAGAACGGACGTTTTCGGACACGTCCATATCCTCAAGAGATCCATATTTGTTGTACAATTGAATTTTATTTTCTGACCCTTTGGGGGCTCTGCCACTAAGTTTTTTTCAATGAATCTAGCTTTCTATTTTTGGATTTAGTGAGACCTTGTTGAGACCTTGTTGACGTCTGTGAAGATGGTTCATGATCATGGGATGTCTCTGATTGTATATGAGATGTACCAGGCTGTAACTCTACTGTTTGAGTAGAGGTAGTAGGTTGTGACTCACCTGTTTGAGTAGAGGTAGTAGGTGACAAAATGGTAGGGGAATCCGTTTTCACCCAAGTCTAGGTTGTCTGACAGCATGAGGAGACTGTAACGACTCTAGGTTTTGTTTCAGGCATTTTTCTGGCAATGGAAGAATAACTTTCAGTTTGTTCTGAGCTTAAGACTTGTCTTTTTTGCATCTGCAAAGCTGATGTTTTGTGTGAACTTAAGTTTGTTAATTGCCATTTGTTGTCTCCAAACAGGACAGTCTTTAGAATAAGAAGGGTGATTCCCTGAGCAGTTAGTGCATCTTTTAACAGTACTATCACAATCTTCTGTTGTGTGTGTCTTTTCACCACAGTGAGCACACACAACAGACAATGTGCAAGAATTCACACCATGGCCGAACTTTTGGCATTTGAAGCACCTGAGAGGATTCGGAATGTATGTTTCAACAGTCAGATTACAATAGCCTGCCTTAAGTGATCTTGGAGCTGAAGGTAGAGAAAAGGAAAACAGATAAGTATTGGTGTTGAAGGTTTCATTGTTTCTACGAGCAGAAAAACGTTTGACATAGAGAACACCCTGATCTCTCATCTCAGAGACGATATCCAATTCTGACATGTCAGCGAGTAATCGGTCACGGTCTCTCACGATACCCTTACTTGTGTTGAGTGTTTTGTGGGCCGTGATGGTCACTGGAATGCCAACAAAGTTCTTGGTGTTCAACAGGTTGTTTGACTGTTGCTTTCTGGCACACTCAATTAACAGTGCACCAGAGCGTAATCTTTTGATATTCTTCACATCCCCAGCAATGCCTTGGATACCCTTGGACACGGCAAAAGGGTTTAACTTCAACGGTGTGTGATCTTCAGTCTCAACAACTAGAAAACGTGGCCAGTAATCGATAGGTTTGGGCAGTCCGAGGTCAGTATCAGTAGGATCTGTTTCGAGTTGACGCTTTGTCTTTTTGGGGGGGTTTTCGTAAGCCATAGTTATTGTATAGAATTCATCATCCGGGCTCCCCACCCACCACGGAGTATCACAAGGACAATGCTAAAAACAAGTGGTCCTCCAACTTGCAGCACCAAGGATACCCGGATGATATACTCCAGCAGAAAAATTAAAGATAAATGATTCCACCAGATTGGCCCATGAGCCACCGCCTTCTGGGCATACTACTCTAGGCAAATACATACATGAAATTGTGCAGTTGAAATTCAAAAATTCAAAGTTCAAAAATTGCCAAGACTTAAATATATCACATAATAATTCCCAAATTTTGTGCAACATTTTACAGTTGTAGCACAGGGCTTGACGTGACCAGCCGATTGATAGAACCGGGCCAGTTCTACCACCCGTCTAGGTGAAGTAAGGGGCGAAGTGGTGTGTTGGGCAAAGGAACACTGTTCCTGGAACCAGTGCCCTCAACCACCAGCCTCCCGTCCTCCACCGACACTGGGGCGCAACCCACGGCAAACGGGTTGGTGGACCAAATATCCCCCCCGGGTCCACAACGGGGTTGAAGGGCGCTTAGCGTGACCCAGCACCCACCACGAGGAGGTGGCCCTTCATGGGTGCCATGTCATTATAAAGAAGCAGACTGTAATATATGATCATGCCAAATTTTACAAGCAAATGTTTTCGAAAGATGGATTTTTCGTTTACAGTAAATGCTTCCGGGAGATTATAGAGCAAATTAATAAGTTTGTTGCTAAATTTGGCACGTAACTGTAGCTCGACTAGAGTGCGGCGTAAAACGACAAACCAAACCACATTATGCGTTCATTCATAGATTTTTAGAAAGTTTGAGTAAACGTTCGAATTGCAAGACCAAGAGAGCTGTATGTTTCATTGCCTTGTGTCTATTTTCAGTCTCGGTCGGGGCATTGCATTGCTTACCCTTCCATACGTGACGATTGTGCGTAGGTTACTGCAATATATTCATGATAAACATAATGATGTTTCAAACAAAACATACAATTTCTTTTCTTCAGATGTGTTTATTACAGTATAAGTACACGAAAATATGTTCTCTCCCTTCCCTGCTTTTCCAACACATTATTTAGTTTGATAATACAATTTTGTTGAAACAAATAGTGGTAATGGAAATACATTTTTAGTAAGGATAAAACATTCTTTATTTACAACGAGGAGCAATGTCGGTGAAGATTATCAAGCAAGTGATGTACAAGATAGTGTTGGGAGGCATATTTACAGATATGAAGTAGCGTTTTTACAATAGAGCAGAGGAGTCTGTTATGTTTTGCAAAGAAATGATTTAACTTAGATCAGTGTATACTTAATATCTGTATACATGCCTTCATACACTACGTCACTTGCTTGATAACGGTGTTAGAATCTACACCGACCGAAATGTTGCACTTCTTTGTAAATAAAGTAAGAGGCGACTACCGGGGTCAGGTAATGAGACTCGCTGACTTGGTTCACACATGTCATCGGTTCGCAATTGCGTAGATCGATGTTCACGCTGTTGATCACTGGATTGTCTGGTCCAGACGCGATTATTTACAGACCTCCGCCATATAGCTGCGTGCGGCGTACAACTAAACTCACTCTCTCTCTCTCTGTGTAAATAAAGTAGTTGTTCATCCATATAGCTTAGTACTCCCAACTTCTATATGCCTCTCCAAGAAGTTGAACATTATTGAGAGCATATATTACACAACCTGTGAACAATGGTTGAGGTTTATCACTTTCTATCTTGTTAGTCTGAACCTGACAGTAATAATATTCATTTCCAAACTACAAATATAAGATAATGACAATATTCACATATTAACTTTACCCATAATTAAGCCACTAAAACATAGAAATTTATTTTCTCAGAACTAGAAGGTAGCAGGACCCAATGGACATGGCAACCAAATCTATTGCAAATAGAGGCGACAAAACCCTTTCTAAATTTATAAAAATAATCTCTGACAAAAGCAGTGTCGATTGTACCATTGTGACCATATCTTGGGCAGATATTTGTTTCAGCAGTATTACAGTTGTATGATGTTGTTTGTAAAGAAATCAGGTCTGAACCAGACAATCACTGCAATACGATGACAGAGCATGTGTTTATTGATCCCTATGAAATATCAGGTGTTCGCGAAAATATGAGCTGTTGGAATATTGCTCGACATTATAGAGAAGTTGACTATTGGAAGATTTATGGGTATTTTTAAGGTGGAACAGAAATAGCACAGTCAGGCTATCAGGTAAGCTAACTTTTGAATCAGTATTGTAACAGTCAACGGGGTGCCTGGAGAGGTAGTAAGACATTGTGGGTGTTTGGATCTCTCTCATCCAGCCACAGCAACACATCAGTTTTAACTAGTAAATAATTTCACAACAAGTTATAAAAGTTACCATAAAATGTATTGCATACAAGAGAAATTTATGCTAGTAAATGCCGTGTAATACACAATCACGCTGCCAAAGTTGTATTTTACATGTGACTTTAAATCCTAACTCACTCATTTACGCACTGTATTTTACAACTAATAAATTAACAGTACAATTATAGTTAAAACAGTGGGAAAAGCAAGAATTTAAGAGCGCTTTGTTCCAAAGTATGCCTCTGGAATGCCGGGGGCCAACTTACATGTTATTCATGTTTATCTTCTGATCGACAGAGATGCTACCATCCAATTCTTAATAAATGGTCTTCTTCAACCGTTCTCCGAAGAATCCTCGATCTCCGTTATTTTCTGTTATGACGTGACCTCCATTATTTTCTATTATGACGGAACCCTAGATACGAAACCTTCACAACACGTAGTTATGACGTCACAACATGGCGGCGCCCATGTCGAGACATAGCTTACCAGAAGAAGCACAAATCAAGACCAAAGACGCTAATGAATTACGCCACATCAGGTAGACTGATGTGACAAGGTGAAGAGAAGGCTTGGATCTGTTTTACTTAATTCCAACGGTATGAGCTCTCGTAATCCTAAGATCACTGTAAATTATATGTTGCAGTGCTCTGCCACGGGACACCATATGGGCAGTGTAATCGATACCGCGGGAATTAGTATACAGCCGAAATACGTCGTAATAGTAAACATATTTATATACGGTAATTATTATAGATTACCATGTACATTACAGTATCCCAAAAAATACGGAAGAAAAAATAGTAGATGAAATATAACAATAAGAAACAATACTGAATTTTGTTAATTTTGCCATACCATTTCTCACCTAAACGTTTAAAATCCATTTAATCACTGGTTGAAAACGAGCATCGGTACGCCATATGATAACATCCAAACCTAACTGTATCAAGCTCAACACACTTCCTAACACAGAGATTACAAAGCTTAAAGGTGATACAGTTTCACTTGAAAATGAAGTCAAGACAACTGCGCCAAAGACGGCATTGATTTTCCATTGATGACATCAAAGACAATGATGAAAAGGTATAATCAATTTAATCACTTGCAATTAGGCTTGCGAGGGGAAGAAAAAGTTCCTCGATAGTGGCGACCTCTGGTCTGCATTTAGAGTTAGCGTTTCAAGATGGCGGACGCGTTTCAAGATGGCTGGGCGGGTTTCAAGATGGCGGACGCGTTTCAAGGTGGCGGACGCGTTTCAAGATGGCGAGGACGGGGAGAGAGAGGGAGGGAGGGTGGTGAGGGGACTATGTAGGCCTAGATAAGTGTGTGGTTAAAGCATGGGATGTAGAAATTCTTTTGAGCGGGATGGGTGGCCCTGAAAAGGGCCGTTGGTATTGCATGTTAACAAAGCATGTTAACACTCACATAGTAGATTGTACCCTCGGAAAATAAATTTCCCTGGGCATATAGCATCGTGCAATAGGTGCGCTCCCTTTCTAATGCCTTCGCTGCAGTAGAGGCACACGTAAAATGCAGCTCCTGGTACCATATCAAACCTATTAGAACGATGAGCTTTCAAACAGGTTTGACATATAATGTATCGCCATTTTAACGCGCATTGGTCTATCATCGCTGGTGATACCTGTGGTAGTGTGGCTGGCGCTTCTGCTGCCTCTGTTGTTGTTGCTGCTGCTATTGTTGCCTCTGTTGTTGTTGTTGCTGGTGGTGGTGTCGATGGTGTCAGCGGCGCTTCTGCATCTGCTGATGCTGATGTATCGGAGGGAGCTGGAGGCGTACCCACTTCGATCTTGCTAGCAGTCTTTGGTGATGGTGTCAGCGGCGCTTCTGCATCTGCTGATGCTGATGTATCGGAGGGAGCTGGAGGCGTACCCACTTCGATCTTGATAGCAGTCTTCAATCTTGGGCTACACCTGAGGCAATTATTTCTTCCGCAGTTTCTTCGGTAAGGTGCTGGTCGGATGACTTTGACTTTTCTTGCGTCCATGATGATGATGATGCATCGGGATTGTCTGGTCCAGACGCGATTATTTACAGACCTCTGCCATATAGCTGCGTGCGGCGTACAAGTTACTCACTCTCTCTCTGTGTAAATAAAGTAGTTGTTCATCCATATAGCTTAGTACTCCCAACTTCTATATGCCTCTCCAAGAAGTTGAACATTATTGAGAGCATATATTACACAACCTGTGAACAATGGTTGAGGTTTATCACTTTCTATCTTGTTAGTCTGAACCTGACAGTAATAATATTCATTTCCAAACTACAAATATAAGATAATGACAATATTCACATATTAACTTTACCCATAATTAAGCCACTAAAACATAGAAATTTATTTTCTCAGAACTAGAAGGTAGCAGGACCCAATGGACATGGCAACCAAATCTATTGCAAATAGAGGCGACAAAACCCTTTCTAAATTTATAAAAATAATCTCTGACAAAAGCAGTGTCGATTGTACCATTGTGACCATATCTTGGGCAGATATTTGTTTCAGCAGTATTACAGTTGTATGATGTTGTTTGTAAAGAAATCAGGTCTGAACCAGACAATCACTGCAATACGATGACAGAGCATGTGTTTATTGATCCCTATGAAATACCAGGTGTTCGCGAAAATATGAGCTGTTGGAATATTGCTCGACATTATAGAGAAGTTGACTATTGGAAGATTTATGGGTATTTTTAAGGTGGACCAGGAATAGCACAGTCAGGCTATCAGGTAAGCTAACTTTTGAATCAGTATTGTAACGGTCGATGGGGTGACTGGAGAGGTAGTAAGACATTGTGGGTGTTTGGGTCTTTCTCATCCAGCCACAGCAACACATCAGTTTTAACTAGTAAATAATTCAAATTAGCATTATTTGTCTCAATCTCGCGATACGCTGGTAGTGACATGCACCGCGCTCTAGCCTGGTTATCACAGCTCGCATCTCAAGGTAATTTCCCATCTCCTCCACCCGGCTGCTTCACGTACAAATATCTCCTCACCCCAATCTCTCCAAAGTCAGTTACGCTCTCACATATCCCGTGGAAGCAATAGGCTCACATCGTAAAGGAAGCCGTTCGGCAAAAATCCTCAATGGCGAGTATGTTGACTTCCGTAATTTGCTCCCATTGGATAACCAACCTCTCGATGACCATGTCCCGCTTAGACTTGTTTCAGATAGCAATGGTCAGGTCTTGTTCAAGCCATATGAATCTCACACTGCACGTCCACTGACTATCAGCGCATGGACGACTGCTTTCCATATCTTCATGGGGATATACGTAAGCAAGCACGCAGACCGAGTGCAGGAATTACTGTCATACACTGAAACAATCAGGGAGCAGCCTTCAAGCACGGCGGAGATTCATGGGCGACCCACGATATCACTTTCGTCACAAAATGGCACATGACCCAGCCAGGTCATGGGGTAAGATTGACGGTGACCTTTGGTTAAAGTGTATGTTGCCAGGTAAGAAAACCCTGTCACCAAGCATTCCTTCTTTCTCCAAAACGTCAAAGGGTGATGATAATGTATGTTGGGATTTTTAATCGTTCTCAGTGTACAAGATCCGTGTGCAAGTTCCCACACAGGTGTTCCAAGTGTCAGAGTTTCAACCACGGGGCACGCTCTTGTCAGTCGTCACTTTTCGTTCCCAAAACGCACCAGGCCACGACCAGCAACACCACAAGTACCAAAATGCCAGCACAACTGTCACAAGTACAGGTAAAACAATTGGCTCAGGTACCAATAAATCTTACTAATCTCTCTCCCTGGCTATCTCTCTATGGTACTGTAAATATGTTGGATGCACAGTTGTTGTTTCAGGGTTTTTCTGAGGGTTTCAATTTGCAGTACACTGGGCCTACTGGACCAAGGTTTGCACACAATCTCAAGTCAGCTACCCAACTTCCACACGTGACAGCTGAAAAACTCAACAAAGAAATCAAACTGGGGAGAATAAGTGGACCGTTTGAATCTCCTCCCTTTCCGGATTTGATTGTATCACCGATAGGTTTGGTAGACAAAAAGGTTAGCAGTGAATCGATCACTACGGGCTTATTCATCACTTGTCTTACCCAGAAGGTAGGTCTATTAACGATTTTATTCCCCAGGAGCTTTCGTCGGTGACCTACACAAAATTCGACGAAGCAGTTACCATGGTACAAAAGTTGGGTAAAGGTGCCGAGTTGGCCAAATTTGATGTCAAATCTGCGTTCAGATTGATTCCGGTCCGCCCCAAAGACTTTCATCTTCTAGGAATGTGTTTTCAAGGTAAATATTACTTCGATAAATGTTTACCATTTGGATGCTCGATTTCCTGTGCATTATTTGAAAAGTTCAGCACATTTCTTGAATGGTGCATCATAAAGAAAAGCTCCTCGCATTCCTTAATTCATTACCTTGATGATTTCTTGTTGGGGGGCTATCCCTTTACAAACACATGTTCTGAATTACTTAAACTTTCTATGGACATGTTTCAGCAATTTGGTGTGCCGATTGCAAATGACAAAACTGTCGGACCCTCCACTACAATCACATTTTTGGGCCTGACGATAGACACTGTAGCTATGGAGGTGACAATACCGGCGGAGAAGATAACAGAGGTCACCCGGCAGATACAAGCAATCCTCACGAGCAGTAAAAAGAAAATACGGGTAGTAGAGGTGCAATCATTGGACTCCAGTTCATTACACGTGCTATCCCAGCGGGCAGAGCTTTCTGCAGGCGCCTGTACGACGCTATCAAGGGTCAGGTAAAACCATATCACCGAGTCAGGATTACCAGGGGAGTGAAGGAAGATCTTAAAGTCTGGCAAACATTTCTCCTCAACCATAATGGTACATCTGTGTTTCAGAATGAAGAGTGGATCACGTCAACCCAAATAGAGCTTTTCACAGACGCTGCCAGTTCGGTGGCGGGTTTCCATATACTTCCATGGGAGTTGGGCATTATGGTAAATGGCCAGGCGAATGGGTGAGAGCGGGTTACGCATGAAAGACATGACTTTCCTGGAATTGTTTCCTGTCATCGTGAGCCCTACGTTTGTGGGCACCTAAGTTTCTTAACAACAAGGTAATGTTTGTGTGTGACAACCAAGCTGTCGTGTCCATCATCAACAGGCAAACATCCAAGAACCCCAAGGTGATGTCTCGTCGTATGCTTGCTAGTAGCTTCATGTCTGAATCATAATATTCTGTTCGTTCCAGGTACATTTCTACTCATGATAATGTTATAGCTGATGCTATTTCGAGGTTTCAGTGGGATCGTTTTCGGGAAGCAGCACCACAAGCAGACTCAACAGCAACACCACCACTACCACCGGACATCTGGGACATCTAAGACTGGAGTCGGATCGATTTACTGGACCTGTCACTATCCAGAAACACTTGGAGGACCTATCATGCAGCGTTACAGTCTTTCAACGAGTTCAGAGTGTCACATTGTCTCCCATCTACATGGCCGGCACCCGCTTGATCATATTATGTATTACTTGTCAGCATTGTCATTGCAGGGTAAATCGTCTAGAGCGCCAACGCGCCTATATCTCAGCACTGGGAACCTGGCACAAGTGGCACGACATGCAGGATGCATCCCAACATTTCCTGGTGCGGAAGGCGGCTCTTAGGATTCAGCAAAGCAGCTAGGGCCAAAGACAGTCGGCCGATCACAGCAGAAATATTATTATCAATTTCCAACGTTCTTCATATTGTTTGTTCTTCTGTTTATGAATGCAATCTTTTTAAAGCAGCATATACACTGGCCTTTTTCGGTTTCTTCAGGATAAGTGAGTTGGTACCTACCTCCCTTTCTGACACGTCGCTATTCATGATGTAAAGATTACAGGTAACGCAGCGGCCATGCATGTCACACTTCAATATTCTAAGACTGATCAAACGGGTAAAGGTACTTCTATCCACATCAAAGCTATTCCATATTCTCCGCTATGTCCCGTCGCTGCCATGGCAACATATTTAAAATCGCTATCTTTTCCTTCACTTTGATGGCAAACAACTAACTAGATTTCAGTTTCAGGCAGTGCTGCAGAAAGCCATCAGTCATCTTGACGTGGGGCATCTTAAATTCACTTCTCACTCTTTCAGAATCGGGGCTGCTACTACGGCAGCTATGAACGGTGTTGATGTAGAGACCATTAAGAGATTTGGTCGATGGTCATCTGATTGTTATCTCCAATATATAAGAATGTAAACTGCTTCCATAATTATAATGACAAATTGCGTAATCGTTGTAGGTGTGTGGGTAGTTGGCGACAGCTACCTGGCCCGAGCGAGACCTGCGCTGGCGGACACCCTTGGCAGCATGGGCCGGTGGAGTGGCGTGTCAAGGGGCTGGACATGGCGCCATTACAGGCGGCAATAGATTATCTGATCGCCAACTCAGCCCGTCAACCCCGGATCCTAGTATTACACCTGGGCTCAAGCGACTCGCCGAGTCACCACCGGCGGGGAGCTCTTTGAGCAGATCATGGAGCAGCTACTCTACACTCGGTTGCGGCTTCCCCACACCAGGCTCCTGTGGTCAATATGTTGCCAGCGTGTTGCTGGCGATATGCTAGAGATATTAAGTGTGTTGAACTTGGCCGTAAGAAGCTGAATAGGCGTGTTGCCAATCTTATGAGGGACAATCGACGGTGAAGTCATCCGCCGACTTTATCTACCCAGGTGTAGATCACTACATCAGTGATGGGGTGCACTTGACTCCCGTCGGGTTGCACATTTTCTGTGATGACATTCGCTGCAGCATAAGTTCATCATAAGTTCAGTTATCTGGTACTTTCATTGGCAAACTTGGTGGAGTCCTCCTGTGTTTTTCCCTCCATAATTTTACATTATCAATTCTACCAAAACATAACATGACATAACACTTTCTACTTTATTTCGGTGTGGATGACGCAGCACTTTCAGTGCTCGGTGGCGAGGTTCGGGGCGGACGCGGGACCAATCTCTCGCTCGATTTATACTTCGCTGCTGCTGCTA